TTTTAAGGGAAGATTGCTGCGGTGGTATTGACATTCAGCAACAGAGCTTCTGTTTTCTCCCCTCCCTGAAGCTGGGTAGGCTCCGGCTCCAAGAATGCACGTTTCTGAAGGCTGGGGACTTCCGCCCTCGTTTTATTGCAGCTCTTGGGAAGTAGTCATTAGATAATGGGAATGTTACCTTCTGCTTTCCTCCCTCATGACCCTGTCCTGAATAGAGAACTGATGAGAAAATTCTCTCTTTCTTCCAACTCGGCTCTCCCTTTTTTGCCCTTTTGCTTTGCACACACACGGTAACACAGGACGCTGCTTTGGCGCTTCGAGAGAGGAAAGGGTCCGGGGGAATGTGCGTGTTTCAGCCCTCTCCTTCTGCCCACTGCATCCATCACACATTTCTGTATTAGCCTCGGGCTCAAGGGGAGGAATTCTTGGGAAGAACGGCGAAGTGGAAAACTTGATTGACCTACACACAGCAATGACCTCACCCAAATGTGCTCTTTTGGGATTTGGCAATGAAGAGTTTGATTTAATGGAGGAGTCTCGCTCCAGATCGAATTCCTCCTGCTCCCTCAGAATGCCTCCACACGACAGCAGCCCTCTGCCTTCTTTTGGGTGTTGGTGTGGGTGAGAGGTGTTCTGATTTCCTGGGGAGCAGGAGCTTCTGATTCTGTTTCTTTGATAGTTTGAGAGCCTCCAGTGGGACACAGGAGGGGTGGTGAAACATCTGCTCATGGCTGTATCCAGGAAGTTATATTCTGGACTAGACTTTTTGGCCCAACCCATAAGACCTTTGACAATGTAGCCTTGCAGCCTTGTCAGTCTTGTCTCTTACAGTGCCTGCCTCCCACTTTGTACCTCCCCATGGCCCAGCCATATGGAAGCCACTTACCATTCCCTGAATTCTCCACACTGCGTGGTACCTTTGGGTCTTTGCGCCCCTACACTCTGGGCCACTTCACGTGGGGGAAGATGTGATCATCTTTCAAGGCTCAGGTCAAGCATCACCCCTTCCAACAAGCCCAACAGAGCCTTGTCTCTCCCACCTCATGTCACCCCTAGGGAGAGTTGACTATTGTTTCCTTAAGTTCTGTCCATACCTATGCTGGGGCATTAATCGTACCATTTTGCAATTGTTGTTTTCATAAATAATGGGATACTATCATGGTGTTTAAGAGCAGAGACTCTGAAGCAAACAATAAAAACTCCATGGGTCCTGTCCCAGCTCTGCCACTTACTAGGGGCATAATCTTGGGCAAGTTACCTGGTCTCTATGCTTTAGTTTCCCCATCTGTAAAATGGGGGCAATAATAACAATACTTACCATATAGATTTATTTTGAGGATTAAATGAATTATTATTATTCCTCGTTCTTTTCCTCTTTCCCCTCTTCCTCTTCCTTTTTTCTTTAAACAGCTAATTTCTTGTACCTGTTACTTTTCCCCTATACAAACTGCCCTCAAGAATGGTGGCTGTAGCTAGGATAATTAAGTTTTTAGTTTTAAATTTCTTAAATAAACTTCTGTAAATTTATAGCTGAAGTAACAGTGTCAAATATTGGTTTCTCAAAATAGCACCAAGATAACCTGTTGAGAAAGCAAGTCAAGTTTACTGTTTACTACAATAAAGGAGATGACTCCCTTGACAGAGTCTTAATACCATCTCAGAAAGGGGAGGACAAAGCTGGGATATTTATGATTCCATTAGAAGTGGGCAAAGATCCTGAGAACATGATTTGGGACTGGTGGACACAGCGTGGTGAGAACTTCAAGGCAAGGGGTTCGAAGAAGTTCTTGGATTGTTGATGAGCCCAGCTAAGTTATCTATTGTTACTTGTTGAGTACTTCCAGGACATCTCCAAAACAAACAGTACAAGGTATTTGGAATTTCATCTTCCTGGGCAAGAGCGTCCTGGAATAGTCACATTATTGTGAGCGGTAAGTTGGGTGGGCATAGATGATTTCAGCTCTCAATTCTTTGAAAGATAAAAAGTTTTGATTTTTAAGAGACAGACTATGTTGAGATGTGGTTTGTCATCAAATTCCAAATGGCTGAGCTGCAAGCATAAACCATAATGTTTAGAGGATTTTGAGAATCAGTTACGTGGCATGCACGATAGAGTTGGGGAAGACATGCGATGACCTAAGAGCCTTTGAATCCCATACAAGAGGAAAAACCATTTAGCAGGAGAAAGAAATTAGGAAGGAAGGATACTGGAGCTTAACTACTGTTGCATCTCAGAGAAGATGGTGGTAAATCTTTAGGAAGTGAAAATGGTGGAGACCCTCAAATGTTTGGGAACCTGAGGGTCAATTCGACTGGTATCCCATTTCTCATCTGGAACTAATCAGCCTTTTGCCTCACGCCAACAAGAGGCAAGTGAAGTAGGCTAGGCAAAGCCTGGATGCCTTGTCTGGAGAAGGGTTGGGAGGTAGCACCCCTGCCTCCATGCCGAGTGGGACCAGGTATTTGGCCGAGAGTTGAGAGCTGGCAGGACTGCCCAGCATCACTGTGGCACTGGCTGAGGAGGCTTCATAAGAGAAGCTGTGGATGACTTATCCCAGGGCAGGGACGGGATAGAGAGCATAGCCAAGTGTCAGAGCATCATCCATGGAAGAGACGAGATGGAGCGCCCTGGATTAACCACTGAGCATTGCTTCTGCTGAGAGAACAGGTGGCGAGCTGCATCAACAGAGGATGTGTTTCAATTGCCCGCCCCTGCAAAACAAACCATCTAAAAACACTGGCTTAAGCCACTGGCTTAAGTTTAAACTCACAACAACCATTAGTTTTGCTCACAAATCTGGGGGAGGGGGTGACTGGGCTCAGCTAGGCCGTGCTAGCTCAGGGTCTCTCATGTGGTTGCAGTCAGAAGGCAGCTGGGGCTGAGGTTGCCTGGAATATTTATGTACATGCCTGAACCCTGGGCTGAGAAGATTCAGACAGCTGAGGTCAGGCACAGAGGAGACTGTGCAAGCTTCTCTCTCTTTCCCCATGTGATCTTTCTATGGGGCAGCTGTCAGTCCCAGACCTTTTACATGGTGGCAAAGGCTCCCAGAGCCAGTGTCCCAAAAGTTACTCACAGAAGCCCCGAGGATTTTTTAAAATTAATCTTGAAAGTCACAAGGCAACACTTCTGTTGTACTCTCCTCATTGATGCAGTTACAAGGGGCTGCCCAGGTTCAAGGGGAGGTGACAGAGACTCCACCTCTTGATAAGAGGAGTGTCAAAGAATTTGCAAGGATGCTTCAAAATTTGATGCTCTCCAGTTTGATTGTGCAGAACATTGAGGAGCCCATATTTCAGAGGAGGTCCAGATGCCGATGCCCCATTCCAGATGCCTTTCCCCACTCCAGGAGAGCACAGAAGTTTCTAGGAACTCAGGTCAATCAAGAGACTAAGAGGAGAGCCAGTGGGGTAGAGGACATCTTGGACTGACCAAATTTCAATTCTGCATTGGTCATGTCTAAATCTGGCAGTTTCTGATTTATGTTGATTAGAAAAATTAAGTGTTTTAATTCCAAGCAGAAGAAGAGTGGCAAAAGAACTCTTAAGTTTAGTTACTGAAAAATAAAGTTGCTCATCATACATCTGAAGCTGTGAGTGTGTGAATTGGTGGTGGGGACTCTGGGAAGATGGTAGCCAGCTGACCTCTTCCCACCTCAAGTCCAATTTTTGTGCAGGTAGGACAATCTGGACACTAGCAGGCCTTGGGCTTTGGTGGGGTCCATGCAAGGAGCTATCTTAAGGCTTTCTCATCTCTGAAGCTGATAAGAACTAGGGGTCACCAGTAGAGAGCCCTGGGGGTGAGGATCCAATTGCAGGTCCTGGAGAAAACGTGGCTGACAGGGGTCTGCAGACCTGTGAGAGGGAGGGAGGTTCTGGATCTGTGAGTGGTTCTGGGACCTCTTGCTGGTGCCAGATCCTGAGAAGTTGTGAGGGGTCTGAAAAGGCAGGTGAGTCCTCCCTACTTTGGAGGCCCAGAAGCACTAGTGTTTGCAGAGGTGTCCAGGGAGCCTAGATGCTTTGTCCTGGTACCCCCACAGGGCAGGCTGTGCACCATTACTGTCAGCTTAGGGGCCCCAGGGGTTGGACCCAGGGGAGTATCTAGCTATTTGATACCCAACACAGGTCATATCTTAATACCTTCTTGTGTAGGACAGTATTTTCAGTGATAAACATGTACTGTTCGGTAATAACTATTAGTGTATTTATTTATTCTTTAGTTTTAAACACACAACAATTAATAAAGAAAAAATTTCAATTTTCAAAATGTTATTCAAATTCCGTAAAATATTACATGTATGAACTGAACTTTTCACTTGCCAAGCAAAAATATTACAGTTTGCAGTTCGTACTCCTTTTCATTAAAAAAATTCTTAATGCAAACAAAAGCAAAGTATTTACACAGTAACAGAACTCAAGTGACCTAAGTTTTGTTTCTTCATCTTTGTTGTTGTTGTGCTATTGTTGTTTATTTATAATCTACCGCACAGATGCAGGAATGTGTAGCACCACAGGGGTTGGAGGTGGGACCCGCATCTGAAGGGAGCTGGAACGATTCTAAACAGCTATGAAATTATCATCATAGGAACTCATAACTGAGACCAGGTGCACTGGGGGACAATTGCATACTTGAGAGTTTTCTGAATTAACTTCTGTGTAGAATACAATGTCTATTAAAAGATAAATATTGTTACTATGTAAGGTGATGGATGGCAATGGGACTTATTGTGGTGATCATGTCCCAGTGTATACAAGTATCAAGTCATTATGTTGTACACCTGAACATAATATAATGTTATATGTCAACTATACCTCACTAAAAATATAAGTAATAAAAATGCACTAATTTGAGATTTATATATGTAAAATTAAAACTCAACTAGTAGCCACAGCAATTGTTTAAAACTTAGACTCATAGAAGGTTTTGGGGCAAGAGGCGTATTTTATCCCTGACATTGTATAAATTCCCATGCATGGTGAAAAGAAAAGGCAGACTGGGTTGTAGTTGGTTTCACTATTGTTTTTCATTTCTCTACAGATGCTGTACCTCTTAGCAGCTGGCACGCACTGGCCAGCTCTTGGTGACCAGTGGTGGCCTGAATCAAGGGTAAAGAGCTCTGGAATCCAGAGCAAGAAAGGAGAACAACTGAGCGCTAGTCCAGGTGACTCCCCAGGGAAATGAGGGTGCTGGAAAACACTTTCAAGAACTCAGGTGAGAAGGTAAGAAGAACACCAAAAGAGATTTGCCCACAGCACAAAGAAAAGAACGTTTTCTGAAATAAGAGCTATGATCTTTTAATCTGAAAGTTTTGCAGATGAATGGAAGAGGATGCTGACTGTGGAGACCCGAACTGGAAGAGCAAGAGCCAACAGTTGGAGCAAAATCGCAAAGAGAAGGAAGTCATGGAGAAAGAATGTTAGCAAATGTGTATACAGGGCCGTGAGAACTAACATGAACAGCAGCACTCCCGGAAGGAGCAGAGAACAGAGGAAGGAGAGTTTATTTATAAACAAACAATAAAAAGAAATTTGTCTGAGCTGCTGAGAGAATTTAGGCTAAAGGAAACCCTCAGTCTGCAGCGTACAAATGTTCCGAGTACCAGGCAGTACCGAAGAGAAAGGCAAATATCTCAAGATATCCTGGTGAAATTCCTGGACCTAAAGGGCAAAGAGAAAATCCTACAAACGTCAGAATACAAACGGAAAAAAGAATCAGACTGTCACTTGAACTGTATTTTGGCAACGCTGCAAATTAGACAGTAATGGAGTAATGTCTATGTGTACTTCCAAGAAAAAAGACCTGTGCCTGAAGAATCTTATATGCAACCAAGATATTATTCGCCTGCCAGGGTGAAAGAATGAAATTTATGGATTTGCAATAAGTCAGAGAAAGTGCCACAGGAGTTAGATAACTGAGAAGGAGCTCTAAACAAACAGAACCCAGAGTGATAAGCAAAGGGCAATGATGGAATGAACGGGATATGTAACGTAAGAGCTGAATGAAGATTCTGAAGCAGAAGAGGTCTCCTACCTGGGTAATCATCTAGAATTAAAAATATCACACTGTCCTTTTAAACTTGGACAGATGGAAAGTGGAAACATTTGAAAGGATCCATCTTATGGGGTGTGAGGAGGAAAAGAGGGAAGAGACAGGCCTGGCTTCCTGGCCTGCGATCTGCGTGCAGTCTGCGCTCAAGAGGGCTTCGTGCTTGATTTAATGCTCTGCTGTCGCTGTCTTGCAATTATCAATAATTTGGAACAAGAGGCCCTGAACTGTCATTTGCAAAGAGGCCCCGAAATTATATAGCTAGGCTTGAATAGAGATCTCAGACTAAATTTAAATCCTGAATTGACCAAGTTTAAATCCAGAAAATTCTGAGTTATTTTGATTGGAAAAGAGTAAGATTTTTCTTTCCTCGTCCAAAATGGTGGCTTGAGAGCTTGGTTAAAGTGAGAAATAGACAAAAAGAGTTAGATGTTGGTACACCATCTTCTGTGAAGTTTATACCAGATAATGTGCAGGCTGTTCGAGGGCAGAAACTCTGACTTCCTCATCTGTTAGCCTCATGGGACCTTTCACAGAGAAGCTGAATAACGGTGGAATGAAGGGGCTGTCCGCCATCTTACATGACACTGTGCACACTGCCAGCCAAAGCGATGGATTTTGAGAATGGCAGTCTTCCTAGGTTATGGAGAGTATTCTCTGTATTGAGGGCCAATAGTCTCTGATATTTTGCTTTCAATTAAAACATTTCAAAAACTGCCAGGCGCTGTACTAAAGATTACTGAGAGACATAGGATAAAGAAATCAGGGCTACCATTCACAGTTTAGTAAGAGCTGGACACCTCTCTTAAGCACCCCCTCTGAGCTCTTGAGCAAAATTTCTCACTTGTGATCCCTTACTAGCTTTCTAAGTTTTGTCTTACTGTAAATATTTCTTTTCCAAAGGAACAATTCTACTTCACCACCCCTGCTAAGGGGCACATCTCTGGGTTTTGCTGTCTAGTTCCAGCTTCCACCTTCTTTTCTGGTATCTGTCTTGATTTTGTTCTGGGAAATCCTTTCCTGGCCAAATCCCAGGACTAGGGGTGGGCACAGCCCCAGTGAATCCCCTCTCTGCTTCCCTGGCACAGTGAGTGTTCAGGAAAGGGTGGCCATATGCTTTGTCATCCAAACTGGAATGCTTTTGAGAGTGAAAGGGGGCACTACTAAGGATTACACTGGGACAACAGTGTAGATGGGGACTCTTCCAGACAGACACGGATGTGCTGTCACCCTGGTTCAGAGGAGCCACCTGACCCAGGCCAGTCTGAGCGGAGTTCCCAGAGCACCCAGGAATGTTGGGGGAAGGAGGAGCCCTCTCCCCAGGGACTGATAGAAGAGCTGAACTCTTTCTCCGTTTGATGCTGGGTGAGGGTGTCCAGCTGGGAATTGCTCCAGTCAGTGTTGTCATGCTGCTCCCTGAGAGGGACAAAGCCGGTATGCAGAGGAAGGCAAGGTGGGAGAATCCCAGGGAACCAGAGCTCGAGCCCCAGTGACACAGGTCCTTAGTTTCCTCCTCACCCTGTCCCCAGGAGGACACATTTATGTCCATACCTTTCACCTCCACACAGAAGCCTTCCCAGGAGACCCGCCCCACCCTGACCTCTGAGCTGAGACGCTGGGCGAGATCTTGATTTTCCTATGGAATATTTCCTTTGTGAAGTCCTACTATTATCTTAGAATATGTCACAAAACTGACCTTAAACCAGCTCTGTGTCCTAAATTTTTTTTCTTCATCATTTTGTCATTTGCTGAGTACTCATTTTGTGCCATTCATTGAGAGTTGAAAACAGAGTCCTTGCTCTCTTAGATTTTTCTTTACTGCCTGACTTGCACAGGTTCATTCTCTCCTCTAGATGCAGCTGAAATTGGTCCAAAGCTTCTGAGATATGTCCTCCCTTCCACGCTTCCTCCTGACGTGAAGCCTGCAGCCTCATGGCAGGACTGTGTCACAGCCCCTCACCAGCCTTCCAGCTTCCAGACCCTCTGCATCCTCTAATGAAGGTTTTGTAATAATTTTTGTGGCATTTGTTTTGAGTGTCCCATTGGCACAACTTAAGGGCTCCTCCAAATAATGATTTTAGATGCACAAAATAAAATTCATCGGCTTACCAAGTAAACCAATTATACTGAAATACAGTTATTGAAAGAGAAGCCCCCATGCACAAACATATGCTATAGCCACATATGTGCTTCTCTATTAACGCCTCAGACAACAAGATGCAGTGACAGGTTCAGGAACAACCATAATTTTAAAGCTGTGATGCGTGTAAATGATATTTTTATATATCTGCAACAACTGTAAGGGGATATGAAAATATCCATAACTTCTGTGCTGATAAATATACAAGAACTGCTGATACTATTGCAGTCTGTTGCTTACATTAAAAATAGAAGAAAACGCCGCATTCCAATCAAAGATTAGTGTAAATAAAGCTGTTAAGTTTTTCCCTCCTAGGTACATAAATCCCAAGTTCAGAGTCCCTACTTTAATCAGTCCTGCCTTGTAGCTTCCTGGACAAATTTCCCCACATAATCTTTTCATTATGTCACTTCTTTCTTCAACCTGCTCTGGCTGCCTATTGCTTATTGGACCAAAATCAACCGCTGAGCTTGGCATCCAACAGCCTTCATGATACTTGCTACCCTACCTGTCCAGACTTTTCTGACATCATCTTTCACTTTGGATTCTGCTCTCCAGCTGGGCTGATTTCTTTGTTGTCCAGAGAACACAGGAAGTGCATACCTCTTTGTTTCACTCAGGCTTCTATATTTGCTAGTGAAAGAAACATAATTTGCTTAAGCAAAAGAGGATTCAAGCATGAATAGATCCAGGTGCGCAAATAATGCTTCCTGGTGTCTTTCTCTCTACATCTCTCGATTCTTCTTTTCTTTGCATTGGTTTTAATTTCAGGTAGGCTCTCCTTTTTTTTCTGGAAAGTTAACACCAGAAATCCAGGCTTTCTTACTATTTTTTTGAGTTTACCGATCTTAGCAGAAACTGAATCTTATTCCAAATGGTGCCAACAAAAGCCCTTGGAATTCCTAGCTGGGATGAAGCTTGGGTGCTTTCTCTTTTCTTAAATTAACTACCGAGAACACAGGGCTAGAATATTCTGACTGAACAGGCCTAGGTAATGTGCCCAGTCCCAGAGCTGGGGATGATGTCAGCCTACTCAAATCACAAGGAGAGAACAGGGAAGGGGTGTACCCCAAAATAAAATCAGGTTGCTATTACCAGCAGAATGGTCCTTAAAATGGGCAGGCAAAAACAATAGATACCTGCTACTTCTTTTAAGGCTGGGTTCTAGTTCCTTCCACAAAGTATGTTCTTCCCATTCATTTTTCTTTAGACAAATTCCTTCATTCACAGAAGGGAAGGTGAGCATCACTGAGCATGTACTGTGTGCCAAGAACTTCACACCCATGTACCAGGCTTGAAATTCATAGTCACAGCTCTCAAGAACAGCAGTGTAATTCAATTTATTTCTCTATAATCAAACTCAAATGCTCTTTGCAGTGGGAGGAAATTTTTGTCACATCAAGATAACTCAGATTCTTCTGGCTTAACACTTAATTTCTTTTTGCATCGATACTCGATCAATTCAGGCTTTAAATTTAGTTCATTCAAAGTTGAAATTCCCTATCAAGGTTGGTCTCTCTTCTTAGGGCTTCTCCTTTCTCTCTTCCCTCTTCCCCTCCAGGATGCTGACTGCGTACAGAGGAAAGCACAGAGCATCACAGCTGCAAGGGGAGGCTGTATTCCATTGGCTGTCCTCACTGGCCTCCTCTGAGCTCACTCACTGTTGCTTGTGGAGGGCATGCTTTACTTCCTGCTACAGCCTTGCTGTCCTTACTGCTGTCCATGGACCAAGTCATGGGCCGTAGTCACGATGTCTGTGTGCTTGACGTCCTTCTCCTTCTGACCCCAGGCCCCTCTCAATGCATGGATTCTCTCAGCCTTTTGCTGGGTCCCTCCACTGGGGCAGGAGGAATTAGAGATCGCTGTGGGAACCCCAAATGAGATCTCAGGTGCTCTTGCTGCCTAAAATCTACAAGCCTCCATTTGCCTTCCTACTTTACACATTTTACAGAGTGTGGGGCACACCATGAGGAGTTCTCAGGGGGAACTATTGAAGTGAGTTAGGGTAGAAGCCCCTTTATCCCTGGCACATCCTGAATTCATCCTCCCTGGCTTTTCCAGCATCCCACACACATCTGCCTGCCACTTTCCCCGTGGGGCAGGAGGACCACATCCCACCTGTAACCTCGTCCTCTTAGACGTTCATCTAGGTCATGCCCTAGGCTTTTATCTCCTCCCAGCCTGGCAGCTGAACTTCTCTCAGGACACATCCCCTTCCTCCATCCTCTGAGCCTCTGAGTTCACAAGCTTTTGATCTTTGGAACCAGCAATCACTTTTTTTTCTCTTTCTCTCTCAAAAAATCTCAGCTCTTACAAAATGAAAGTCATAGCTTTCACAGCTATTGTCTCTGAATATATTTCGGGAGTCTATTGTGAATGTCAAAAGCTAACCATCTAATGTTCCGCTCTCGCCTGAGTTCTGTTGTCTTCCTGAAGCCTGGATGTCTCAGCCTCCAGGCTGGAGAGCAACGGGTCAACCAAAACAACCTGTGTTAGTCTCTTATTGCTGCCAAAACAAACTGCCAGAACTTAGTGACTTAAAATAATTTATTGTCTTACAGTTCTGAAGGTAAGAGGTACCAAATGGCTTTTATTGGGCTAAAGTCATGGTGTCTGCAGGACTGTGTTCCTTCTGGAGGCTGTAGGGGAGAATCATTTCCTTGCCTTTTCCTGCTTCTGGAAGCTCTCTGTACTCCTGAGTTTGTGGCCCAGCACCCTCCAACCTCTGTTTCTATCTTCACGTCTTCTCTGACTCTGATCCTCCTGCCTCCCCCCTATAAAGACCCCTGTGATTATATTGGGCTCACCTAGATACCCCAAGATAGTCTCCCCATCTCAAGATCCTTAACTTAATTACATCCTTAAAGCCTTTTTACCGTATAATGTAACATATTCATAAGTTCCAAGGATTAGGATGTGAGCATCTTTGGGGGCCATTATTCAGCCTGGCACACTACCTAAAATGAAACTTTATGTAAAAAAAATTGTAAGATATTACCTTGATCTACCTTCTAATTCCTTCAATCCTCCCAACAACCCTGTGAGTCGAGTCTATTATTCTCATTTGACAAAAGAGGAAATTAAAGGTAAATTTGGGCCTATGATGGCCTGACCCTAAAGCCAGTGTTCTCTCCTCTGGTTCACAAAGTCCTTCTTCCCTAAAGAGGCTACCCCAGCCCACCCCAAATTCCCCTCTAATCCAAATTACCATAACGTGTCTTCGTGTCGCAACTTTCCATTTGATGGTATGCTGTTGGGAGTATTCAGAGTGCAGCGTGTGTGTGTGTGTGCATGTAAGCCTTTCCTGCCAGACAAAATTGTAAATGCCTAAGGCTGGGATGAAATCTATTGCCTCTTTTGAACCACTACTCCAACAGAGAGGCCACCATGGTGTGGCCACACAGTAAATATGTCATAAAAACTTGCTGACTTGATGGTTGATACTAGAATCTGATCAGCTATCCAGTCAGCCAGCTAAAACTTATTGAGTTCTTACTGTCTGCTAGGCCCTGGGCCTACTTGGGAGACAGAAGGAAAAGACATGCTTCCTGCACTGAAGATGTCCACAGTCTGATATCCAAAAATATCTATGGTTTTCCCCGATGGAACCCCAGACTATGGGCCAGGCCCTGTTGGACACTATGTCAGTTATTAAACCTCACAGGAACCCTGAAGTTCAGGGGCAAACATTTACTTTTTGCTCCCTTTGCTTCTCATTCTGTGCTTTACTCCTTGTTTCCCAGACCATTCTCACTGGCAGTGGCATCCCAATTTTGGATTAGCAAAATAGGAGGGTGATTTGGTGGTTCCAATCATAAGAGGGGAGTGAGACGTGAAACTTCCCGAGATACCAGGAGAGGGAAGTATTCAACCCGATCATTAAGGACCTTGGGGTTATAGGTAGGTCAGTATCTAGGTTTTCCCAGATTCCTAAAACTCCTAAAAATGAAGGGACCGTGGACCATGGCATCAGGCTTTTGTAATTGTTATAGCTAAAGGCACTGGCAGAGCTAGGAGTGACTTTGGGGCCAAGAAGAGGCTGCTTACGAAGCCCAAGTGCACAGCTGCCTGACGGGCCTGCCACGGCTCTCAAAGGCCTCCCAGTTGCACTCATCCTGGGTCACATTAATATTTTCTCCACTTCCTGACCACCATCCTGGGTACATTTTCAGGAGAAATGGGAACTCGAGAGAGATTGTCCTTAAAGCTTCTGTTCTGAGTCTGTCTGCTTCCCGCTCTGGCTCCATTTCTCCATCACCGGGGCCCTAACTTTCTCCATTCCCCACAACTTGCTCTCCCAGAAGCGGCTGACAGTATCCAGACCTGGATCTAGATAGACACAGATAAACAGATACATATTTCAAACCTTATGACCACCAAACTGTTGTTTGCGTCATAATTAATTCCCTAGAGATTTTGCTAAAATTATAGAAGTCAGAGCCTCACCCTCAATCTCCTAAATGAGAATCTTCAGGTGTGGATATTTTTTTTAAGGTAGTATTTTTTAAAAACATTCTTTCCAAATAGTTTTGCTGCCTCCATGTTTGAGAATCCCCGCTTTAGTTAATTCCTGATTTACCTACGCACTGTCATGCCTATCTCGCTCATTCTGGAAAGGCATTTCAGACATCAGCCAGCGGGCGGGTAACACTGAAGTCTTGGCTGAAATGAGGTGGATGTGGGGAGGAAAGGAGAAGTTAAAAGAAAACAGAAGGGCTAATAAGTCTTGCTGGTGCCCCCTTAGGGGAGGCTCCGGTGGGGGCTTTACGGACAGCATCTTATTCAATCTTTTCTAAATATCTCTTTAAAAAGTAGGTATCACTGTGCCCATTTCACAAATGGAGAAATGGATCTCACAGAGGTTAAGGAAGTCGACAGAGGTAAAAGAGCCAGGATGTGGTGAAGGAAATGTTCAAATTCTGGTTCCTTGGTCTCCCCAAAGCCTGCATCGCTCTGGTTCAGAAATATGCCACCAGGGCTGGAGGCTTGCAGGCCAGCTCTGCCTGCGTTTCCTTTCGTTACCTGTAAACTACACTCCCCGGTCCAAGGGTCTGTGAAATATAAGGAAACATTCATACCTCCTCCCCCTCCCCAAATAAAAGGTTCTGTGGTCAAATTAAGTTTCAGAAATGCCTCTTTCAGTAGTCTGGTCTTGAAGTGTTATCCTAAATTAACAAATTGAAGACCTAAAAGCCCCTACAGTGAAGATGGCTTAGGTCAAGCCCATCTTTTTCACAGGTATTTCACAATCACGTTGTTATATTTTCAAGAAACATTACTTCAGCTTCCAGGGGAACATATACATTTGGGAGAATTTTGGCTTAGCACATGAGCAGTCCCCAGCTTCGAAGGGAGCACAAGAGAAATAGAAGGAGGAGATAAAGCCAAAGGGAAGAACTGTTTGCTCTTCCCTCCTTTGAAAACAGGGAAATGACAGCAAGGCTCCCAAGAGGCCATAAAAACTTCCCACCATCTCCCCCACAGTCCTTAGCCTTGGAGCAAGTGGGTCACTCCCTGAGTCCGGAATCCTTGTTACACTTGTAAACCATTAAGGAGTGGCCTCTCGGTAGACGAGCTGATGCTGCCGAGGCTGCACTGCAATAATCCCCAGCCTGATTTTCTGGGTCGAGGAGAGCCAAGTAGTGGGAAATGGCCTCTCCCTCCGCTTTCCGGGTCCATGTGTGTTCGCCTTCAGCAAGTACACCTCAAGACACAATTTTAAATGAAAAAACAAGAAAGCGTATTGAACTAATTCATCATGGCTGGTTTTCTACCTGGAGCAGAAGAGATTTTTCTAAGCTACCCATCCAAGCTTGCACGAGAAACGGCACAAAACCTGGGCTGGAGTTTTCACAGCACCATAGCTCCCTGGCAGTCTGAAATCAAAGCTAGGAGGAGTCTGGGGAAGGGCGGATGAAGCCGGGCTGTCTCAGAGGTACACAGGCCCGCCGTCTCCTGGGCTCACAGGGCTGCCCCGTTGTTGCTGGGCTGTTTTGTCGGCTGATTTCCTTGTGCATTGCTCCAGGACCTTGAGTTGAAAATGCAATGTGGTTAATTATACAGCTAATGAACTCTGGGGCATTTGCTTTCTTATTCTCTCTCTCCGGGTGATGAGTGGAAAATGTGCCGCATAACATCTTTGCCCTTGGGGAGTGAGTTACCGTTAAAGTCAGAGTTTTGAAAGGCAACATTCGTGAGAGGAGCATCTGGAGTTCTTGGCTTTCTTGCATCCAGGTACGTCAGTAATGCCTTTTCTGTCTTTCTGGAAAGCCCCATTGTGTAGAGAGTGTTGTCCTGGCTTGGTTCTATTCTTCTGCGGCAGCACAGTTGTACCTGAAGGTGAGAAAAGAGGTGATATTCTACCAGCATCACTTCTTCCAGGTCTGCTGATGGGTCCTCTGCAAGCCTGCAGAAATTCTGGAGCCATCTGTGTGCCTGTATCCCACCAAACAGATGTTAAATAGTATTTGCCATTTAGGGATCCTTTCTTAGGAAGTTACTGGAAGCTGTTCTCCACAATAAATGAGAAATAAAAAAAGTAGAAGTCTCGACAGTGAGGAAACTGAGAATCCCTCACAGGAGTGGAGCAGAGAAAAGCCCGTGGATGAGAATGAAGGGAAGCCCTGGGATGACAGCCGTGTGGGAGACCTAGAGGGTGGAATGACAAAGGCTCTAGTGGGGAGAGTCCAAAAAGTAGAAGTACAACTTATAAATCATCAGATACATTTCCTTGTGTGGAAAAATGAATTGAGAGGCTGCTGGATGGTGTAGAAAAGCTAGCAATCGCTATAAAGAAAACTAAGTAAATGAAAAAATAAGGCAATTGTTAAATCCAGATAAAATGAAAAGTTGTATAAGAAAGGAAACATCAAGAGTATACTACTGGATGTTTGGCAGTGAATAGGAATTATATAACTGTAATAGGAATTACATAGCTGTAATATTATATAGAAGTATAACGAGATGAAGGATGTGTAAGTGGAGGGGCAAAGGTTGTAAAAAAGCTAAACATTTACCTGATATTATAGGTCATTAGTAGTTAATTTCTGAAACTGGCAAATGAAGAAATAGCAATAAAATATATGCTTTGGTTAGCTGTGAAAAACAGAAACACAAAATAACAATGAATTAAACTGGGCAGGTTTTTTTCCCTCTCACTCAAATTAGCTAGACAGTTCAGAATTGGGGCCATAGCTTTGCTCCATAAAATCCTCAGTAACACAGTCTCCTTCCATACGCCTTCTACACTTCTGTTGTTGTTTTGGTGGAACAGGCTTCCATTCCCAAGATAATTTCATGGTTCAATGTGGCTGCTCAGGTTCCAGCCGTTATGTCTGCATTCCAGCCATCGAGAAGGAAGAAAGAATGAAGACTAAAGTAGTCAAAAGACGTGTTTCAGATGTCTTTTAAGGAAAGTTCCTGAAAGTTACATGTAATGTTTTTACTTACATCTGTTGACCAGGATTTAATTGCACAACTATATATAATTAAAAGGAGGGCTAGAAAATATATTTTTTATTTCGGAAATCACTAGCTCAGCCAAAAATTGAGGTATATATTTCTACGGAAGGATAGGAGAATGGATATGGGGAAACTAGCCACTTCTTCCACACAAATTATTTAGAGATGTGGGAGCAAATTCCAGAAGAAATATCTAAATTTACTGAAATCAGTTGTTTTGGAGAATAAGGCTTTTGGGTGGGGATGGGTGATGCATGTTACTGCAGTATTTCATTATAAATTTTTAGCATCATTATTTCTTAACTTTTTTTTAGTATGTGCATATATTATAGTGATAAAATAAATAAGTTAGGGGAATCATAGTGCTCCCTGGCATGTGGATAGTGAGCTATATGGGCTAAGAATGTCTTTCCATTTTTGCCTCATATTTATCTCCTGCTCATTTCTAAATATAAGGTGAATCTGGTATTCTTAAGCTTCATTGAAAACTGAAAAGTAATTGATTCCAAATTACAGAGAGAGAATAATTGGGTTTATAAGTTCCTCTCTCTATCTACTCTATTTTTCTTGTTTTCCTGTGACTACAAAGAGAATATTCCCAGTGGACACTAAAAGCAAAAGTGATGGCAATAAACCAGTGACATCTCTCAGAAGCTTA